ACCAGCCCTCCACATCCCATCCCCCAGAGGCACAGCCAGCACTGGGCCTCGTCCCGACTGCACCGTGTGTGTGACCACCCCCTCCCAGCACTGCTTAGCACAGCACAGAACCCAGGGCACAGACAGATGCTCCTCCAGACAGCAATGCTCAGTGTTTATTGACAGCTCCCTCAGGCCCATCACCACACACCATGCCCCACATTGCTGTGTTGAGACAGCAGAAATGGCATGGCAGAGCAGGTGTCTGCTCTGGGACTGACCCCTTGCTGCCTACAGGATGGTACAAAACTTTTCACGGAATGTCCGTGTGTCTTCATCCATCATTTCCTGTGTGTAACGTGGAGCACTGCGATTCTGCTCTACCATGGTGTCAATCATGTTGATGAGCTCTGTAACCTGCCGATCTCTCGCATCTCCGGTGACTCCATTGCTGAAACCAATGTACCGATTTCCACACTTTGCTGCCAGCTCCTTGAGGTATGGGCTCTGTTCTATGAAGCCCTTCAGACCTTTTGGATCCTTCAGCTCGTCTACTCGGGTGAATAAGAGGATTGTGTATCTCTCTGCTTTAGTATGGAAAATGTCGGTAACCAACTTAGCCACTTCCTGCTCTTCCTTACTGATTCGGGCCAGCTGCATCACCAGGATTATGGCATGGACCCCTGCATAGAGTTTCTTAAAGGCATTCTTAATCTTTTCAGCTGTTTTCTCATTGACTTCCTTAGTGTCAAAAAGGCCAGGAGTGTCGACAACTTCAATTGATCTACCACTGAAGTGGCCTTCTTCTTTTTCATACTCTCGGGTTACCGACTCTGCTGACAGTGTAGAAATAAATGCTTCCCTTCCAAGGATGGTGTTTCCTGTCGCACTCTTCCCATTCCCTGTCTTGCCCACCAGGATGATGCTCAGCTTAGATCCTGGAGAACAAGCAGAGACGTGTGTGAGCCCCACGGTGCCGGGGCACCCTCTGCTCGCCACACGCCAGCTCCCAGGCAGAGGTGCCCGGGGCCACAAGGAAAGGTGTCCCTGAGCCACCGCTGTGCCCTGCGGGGACGGGACGGGGCACGGGCTGGAGCCGGCTGCCAGCAGGCACACAGGGCTCGCTCGGCCCCATCCGCCCTCAGCCTCGCTCTGTGAGCTCTCAGAGTGGGGAGATGGGAGGCAGCTCAGGATACCCCCGAGGCCACGGCCTCCCACAAAGCCCATGTGCCGCGTGCACGAGGCTGCACGAGGTTGCAAACCCACCGTGCTTCACCAGCACAGCTAGGAACCAGGCCAGGCTGCAGCTGCCTGCATGTGGCGCTGAGCAGCTCACCTTTACTTTGATGTGCTGCCATTGGGAGAGCACTCACACTCGGGTAGCCTGAAAGGAGAGAGATTTTAGGTGAGAATGACACAAACCTCCCCTGATTCCCTCCCTGTGCCAATGAAGGTGATACAGATGATCTCTGGGGACTCAGGTCAGTCCCACAGCCGTGTGA